ACAAAGGTAGGCAGCAAGTGATTCTCTCCAACGATCTACCATTAACCGCACCCCCTGCCCCACTCATTTTCCTGTGTTATATGTGCCATATTCCATGCTCTCCTGGGTTCAAAAAAGATCCAGAGTTAGACTGCCTGTGTCCTGAGTCTGGCCTTGCCTCTTATTAGAATGATAATCTTAAGGAAGATGTTAAACCTCTTCAACATTGAGGGTTTTTTTTTTTTCAACTGTAAAATGGGGATAAAGAGGGACAATAAAGCAAGGTGGTTAGACCATGGGTTCTGGAGCTTATAATGCCTGGGGTTTCATTCCAGCTCCATCACTAACTGCAGCCCCCATCCTTGCACATACCCAGAAAGCAGTGGAAGGACCAGGAAAGACTTCATGGAGAAGGTAACATTTGAGGTGACACTTGGGGATGCACAGGAATTTGACTGGGGCTGTAAGAGGAAGGAGAAGCCTTCCAAGCAAAAAACAAAACAAACAAAACAAACAAACAAACAAACAAAAAAAAACAAGCTAAGTGAAGTCCAAGAGATTAGAAAGCACTTCCTTGCCCTAATGATCTGACAGTCTCATGCTCTTTTGGAGCCAGGAGAACACAGAACATGGTACACAGGAGGGGGAATGAAACACAGATCCTCAGAGAGATCCACTTGCTGCCTACCTTTGTGGGCTGCATCTGCAGTGGTGAGAGAAAACAAATGAAAGATTCACAAATAGTGATGGGGGGGTTATATCTTACTGATTAGATTATAGTTGTTTTGATTTTCTTTAAATTTTTGTTTTCCAATTTTTCTGCAATGAACATATAGATTTCCATAATTAATCAGAAAAAAATTTAAATTGTTCTTTCCTGCTGAATGTTTTTGCTTCTGCATGTCTTCACTCAGAAATTTTTTCCCAATTTCCCTGGATCCAGAAAATTACATAGGACCTCTGGATTGGCTGATTCATGCCTATATCTAATTGATTTTGAAAGTCAAAGACAGAAAGAAAGGCTGTCTTAAGATTTCTATGTATCTAGTCAGGCAGTTATGGTTGCCAGGTCACAGACATTCATAATCAACTGCAGACTCTCTCTAACAGATGGCAGACATGGCTTAGGATCCAGGCAGTCACTAAGCTGCCTTAGACAAGGTCTCAATGCACTGAGGAATGAGCCCTGAGAAAAAGCTGATTTGCCAATGCAGGATTAGTTCACTGTATACAAACGAGCACATCTGAATAAGCTTAGCACACAAACCACCACCAAAAGGAAGTACCTTCCGGCAGGCTGCTTTCAATGGCTGTGCCTCCACCAACACAAAACAAGAGTAAGTCAGCATGGTAGGTGGCAACTCATGTGAACACCTGCATGATTCTTCAGTGGGAAACCTGCAGCCCTGACTGGGAACAAAGCCACGTCTGTGTCCCCAGTGGAGCAGTCAGACGATTTCAGGGGGCCACGTGTGAAAATGTCTCACTAATGTATGTGGAAGTTACATACTAGGGGCCAATAGGCTCAATCCTACACAAAGACAGGTTCTGACTGCATCACCTTGACCCACGCAGTGCTTTTAAAATAGGAATTGCCTGCACCTTTTAAAAAATAGGAAGAACTCTGGATTTCTGGCTCCTCTGGAAACATAAATGGAAGGGACAATGGAAGAACAAATTTTCCATGTGGGGACAGTTGACTGGAGCTGAGTAGAGACAGGTGAGTGCTCTCCAGCCCAGCTCAGTTTCCCCACCTCTCTGATCTCCTATACTGCACTGTTCTGCTCATTTTGATAATTTGCCACCCTTGCCTTATAGTCATTTCACCTACACGGGAAAAGCTCCTGTGTACAGTCCATCCGCCATCTCTCTGGGAGTTACAATGGCCCCAGAAGGCTGGGTCTGTTGCTACAGACCAGAGGCATCTCTGACGTCATTTACAATCCAAGTTCCCTTTTTTGTGTCTTCACCATGAGACCTGGACCTGAAGAAGCAAGAGGTCTCCTGCAAGCTCATTTACCCCCTGAAGACTGGAAGCTATTTAAAGCTCCAAAGAGATCTGAAGAACCCTTGATATACACCTGATCATTCAGGACAAAGATTTTCGTGTTCTTTTGTTTTGCTTCGCTTTCCTTTGTTTTGCCTTGTTTTTGTAGGACCAATCGATTTACTCAGCTAATTTGGCTTTCAATGATCATCACAGTCAGATAAATGTTTCCAGAAGGACGGACTCTGTGGGGTCACAAGTTTAGTCCTTGCAGCCACACCAGGCAAGTGTGTGCGCACGCAATCAGCCGGGAGAGGAGCGTCGGCAGATCCCAGCAGGACAACTATTTTTGGGTAATGAGGGATCATGGCATTTGCTTTCTCTCCAGAAGTCACGTACGTGGCCAAGAACTTGTTCCAGTCAAGGAGCCAGATCTGCTGACAGATTTCAGAAAAGTTCAAGGAACGGTGGCCTTCTCCCCAAGGCATAAACACCAACTTGAGTGGCCAGGGACTGCAATTGGACTTGGAAAATACTTTTGACCCTTCATTAATTGAAGGATTTGAAGGACTTCCTAATGATGCTTTAAAAGCATTTGTGGTTTTTATTCACCCCCTCACTCTAGACTGAAATTGGCCAGGGATCTTTATGCGAAGAAAATATTAGAAGTTGACAACGATATATCATTGTCATTAGTAACTGATAGCCCCAAACAATGAAGACTGAGCCATGATGAGCACATCAGTGGGAAAATATTTCAAAAATAAAAGGTTCTGGGGCACCTGGAGGCGGGGGCTTAGTTGGTTGAGCACCTGACTTCACCTCAGGTCATGATCTCATGGTTCGTGAGTTCAAGCTCCTTATCAGGCTCACTGCTGTCACCATGAAGCCCACTTTGTAACCTCTGTCCCTCTGTCTCTGCACCCCCATTGCTAATGCTTTCTCTCCCAAAAATGAATAAAACATTTTTTAAAACTACAAGGTTCTGATGGACAATCTTATAATAATCATCTCCCTGAAAGCTAAAAGAATTCAGATATCTCAAAGTTAGACTCAACATTACAGGTTGTTCTTCCTCAAGATATTTATGAGCGAGTGAACTTCCATCAACCAAAATGGGCCCTGGTTAACATAACAGTAAGTGATCATGGCATTAGGTCCAATGACACAGCTTTTTTCTCAGATGTCACCTCCTCTGTGAAGCCATTTTTTATCTCAAGGGCAGAGATAGAGTCTCCCTCCTCTCTCCTTCTGAAGTGCCTAATACTTACGATGGCTAGGGCACTTATCACATTGTATTTACATGTTGCATCTTACTTCCAAGTTTACCAGCTCATCATTGTGTTCTTGAGACCTGACACAATACTGTAAGATCTTTACAGATCAAGTGTTTGTGAAAGGTAGGAAGAAAAGAAGGAAGGAGAGAGGGAGGGAGGGGGGAAGACTGGAAGAAAACACGGACACATAGCATTTCCTTGACCAAGGGTCTGAGCAGCTCTTCCTCTTGGTCTTGGCACGTTGCTTCCTGTGCCTTGAGTGTGTTTCCCACTTTATTAGACTAGTGAACTCTTGTCATTTCTCAAGATAGTTCAAAACTTACTTCTTTCAAAAAGCCCTCCTGCATCCCTCTCCTGCCTGCCCCACATGAGTTCTCCTTTCTTCTGTTCATGATTTTGTTTGTCACATTTATCATGTCTCTTTCTGCTGAATCGTGAGCAAGTTTAGACTAACTCTTTTCTTTTGTTCCTTCCATTTCTACAAGGAGTTCCCAGCATAGAATCTTAAGAAATAGTTGTTGAATGAATAAATTAATAAGTAGAAGGCCCTAACTCTTGCACATTAACCTGAAGGGTGCTTATCTCTAATTTCAAAAGTTACTTAAGAATTCCATTGTGGGCATATGGATTATCTACTTAATTATTCACATCAAAATTTTAACTCTAGGGCTGCTGTTCTGTGTCTAAGGAGCTTCTGATTTCAGGCCACCTTTCCAAGTCAGTTACCAAGAGAGCATGGGGTAGAACTCATTTCAATGTCAACTTCAAAAACAGAATGACTTACAGGAAAATGTATCAAAAAAAGATCGGATAATTCATTGAAAGTCAAACTTAAATGATACTCTCACATGCTTTCTTGTTTAAAGTATAATATTCATGTTATTTTTCTGAAGTTTATTTATTTCTTTTGAGAGGGAGAGGGAGAGCATGAGCAGGGGAGGGACAGAAAAAGAGGTAGAGAGAGGGAATCCCAAGCAGGCTCTGTGCTGTCAGTGCAGAACTGTGAGACCATGGCCTGAGCCAAGATCAAGTGTCAGACACTTAACCAACTGAGCCATGCTGGTGCCCCATTCATGTTATTTTAAAGTGCTCCTATATTTATTTTATCACATAAAATGACATAGAAACAAATGAATTGTGGTGAATGGACATAAAATTTCCACAAGATTATTTAGCTTGGGTAGAAGAGGCTCTTTGAGGGGAATCCTAAGTAAGGTGGCTGAGAGGATAAGCCGATGATAGCTAGAAAAATAAACCGGGTCGAGGTTATGAAAGGCGGCAGAAGTTTAAGTCATGTTATCAAGCTTTAACTTTATCTGATAGGAGATGAAAAGTCCCTGCAAACTTTCATCAGAGGAGCAGTGTGCACAGATCCGTGTCTTTCCTTTTCTGGGTGGTAGATGTATGTAAGATACCTGTGGCCAACCCAAGGTATGGCAGTGAGGATGGAGGAGACATACTGAAAGATATATAGAAAGAAGGAACTATCATTTGGTGATCAATTCCATGTGACGTGTGAGGAAATACTTCCTTCGACTGCTTTTGAGAAAATGATTTATATAACCAAATACTTCTATTTCCTCCCTATTTTCATGTCAAAAGTATTGCTAGCCATCCTCTTATAGACTCAGAAGAGAGACACTAAAGAAGAAAAAATGATAATGGTATGATTCTAAGGTGTTTTTTTTTTTTGCCCCTGATTTATAGAAGGCAGAGCATTTCCAATAAAACCAATGAAACTGAATTCTAATCAGGAATATATTTATCATTAATCAGAGATTTTATTTTGCTCCATTGACTGCTTAAATTTTCAGTGAGCCTTTGACTGAGAAACCCGTGCTAAAACTCTTGATATCAGGCACATGGCCATTTAATCAACAATACAAGATAACACAAACAAAGGGGCTTAAGAAAAATAAAGTATAAAGCTACAACATTCTATGTTAACAAAGATTTTAATACACACTTGTCTAAAAGATGCATACAATGACTACTGAATCTCCATTCACAGGCAGCCGACAGGATTATGAATGAATTTATCAACTTCCAACAAAACTTCAGGTTGTACACTTAAAAAAATTACAAACCATTTAAAAATGAAAATTAACAGTGGAAGCAACAATGACTATAAAATCTGATGGGATGACTTTAAAGAAAGGTTCAAGTATTGTTTGTAAAGTTCTTCGGACGCTATAGTCTTCGAAAAGTTTGTGCATTTCCCATCTTTGCATAGTAAAAACAAAAACCAAAAGAGAAAACACGCATACTACTTGGTAAAACTCCACAGCTCTATGTGATTCATGTTTCAAAACATGCACCTATGTGTACTGCTCATTGATCTAACAGGAGTAGCACTAATTCAGTGGGCTCATGCAGTATCCCAGTGAGCAATGAAGTTAGCGCACACCTCCTCATCCAGGTGTCGTTAATTAATGCAGCAAAGAATAGCAGGTGGAATGGGAACTTGCCATCACTTAACACTAACTCTTGTTGGGTAACATTAAGATGGTGATAACTTGAGCTTGTGCTTTGAGCTCAAATTAATGAAAAGGACTACCCTCACCACAAAAATGAGCAAATGAATGGCATGTGCAAGAAAAAATACAGCAAAGAGTTTGAAATGACATAACCTAATACCACCAAAGATAATTATAATCCATTGTTTGCGACTGGTGTGGTTGCATTATCTTTCATATTCATACACACATAGCTTAAAGCTTGTGTATTTTACATATACACACAAATAATTCAACATTGGAACATAGGGTTGGTTACCTATGAAACTGCCAGTGTAACAAAAAGTTACACTGACATTTGCCGTTATGTACATAATATTTGGGGACCACTGTGGTCTGATTTAAAACATAACATCGCACACTTACAATGTTGTTTGTGAAATGCTCAAAACTTAATAAAAGAGATTCAACCTGTTTTGTAACCGCCATGGTTTTGTGTCCGTAAGTCACCACGGGGCCTCTGGAAGAGCAGTGAAATGTGTATGGTGTACTCGGTAGCAGCTTGGAATCCACTAGTGAGTGCAATCCAGCAACAGCGAGACATAAACAATGCAGCGACAGGAAGAGATGCCAAGTAATCTGAGTTTCCTCGGGGCTGAAAGAGCCATCGCCACTAGGTGGAGGGATACAACCTGTGTTTTATGAAGCCAAGAATAAGGCTGATAAGCCTGGTAATAGCCCTGTTTTTACAATATAAACGGATAGCTAGTTCTAGAGAAAGACTGCAGACCTGGGTAGCACCTAGTACTCAGAATGCAATAACAGGATTAAGAGGTTAGGCTGTGATCTACTGTAGCACACAGAAATTAAGGTTTCTGCTCTATGATTGTGATAATTCCACAATTAAATGTATCTGGAAAAAAATCCCCACTGTTTCAAGCAGTACATTTTAAGGACAAAAGCCTCTCCAAAATCAAAGCCAAAGTGGTGAGATTGGTGCCATGAATCTTGCTGAAAAGGGACTTAACGCTAAATCTAGCAACTCATTGGGTTGTCATGAAGCGAATAGTAGAATTGTGTGTCCTGTTCCTGAAAGGGGGACGTTAGGGAAGAGTGGGCTCTATGGGGGCTGTCAGGAAAGAGGAAAGCTCGTCTCTAAATGGATGCGCTGACTGAAGAAATCACGTACAAGTTTTTACATTCAAAACAAAGTCAGGACCAAATTTCTTTATTAATGCATATACTTAACACTTGAACGGAAGCTGTGTTGATCATAAATGGAAGAAAAAGTCAGTGCAAATGAAGTAAACTTGAAGGGGCTTGGGAACCCAGATTACATCTGCACATCTCCCTGGAGGCAAAAGAAGACCATGAGCTTGTGAATAGTAGAATCCCGTCATAATCCGAACATTCCACAGACCAGGAACACACCATGGGCCCAACAAGATTTGTCGAAAACACAACACACAGACTTAAATCCTATGATAGCAATGCTCACAAGAAGGTAATTGCTGCTTCTGTCTCCATTCCCAGTTTCACAGTGGGGTTCTACCATATGTATTTCAAGGCAGGAAGATGAAGCATGAATGAGATACTGACAATAATAGATATGAATAAAATGGAAAGCTTAATTTTTTCCCCCAAGTTTTTAACATTTAAAAATTGTTTATAATTTAAGGCTTTAAGTTTATCCTTCTTTCACATTAAAGACAGGGAAAGAAAACTGTCAAAACCAAAAACAAAAATCATGAGCTTGGCACTTCTGTGATTAATTTGAGAGGGTGTCTACTTTCTTACATTATGTACACACGTTTATAATGACATCAAAAATTTTTAGACTTGTCAGTACATATATCTGCATTTACATAATTTACGTATGTTTAATAAGGGTTATTTAGTTGTTTGTGTCCCTCCCCCCCCCACCCTTTTGCTTACTTTTGGTTTCAAGCATTTCCTTTCATTCAAGGATTTCATTTTTAAATTGTACCTATTTTGTGCCCAAACTCCCTGCATCTGTGGCTATGTCTGTCTCTGTTAAGCAAGCCCCCAAATCATTGTTGTGACTGTTGTGACAAGAGAAGAAGAGAGAGAGAGGAAACAAGAGAAAAGAACCCAAAAGATGGGGAGCAAACAATGAACTCAAATCTACTTTACAAGAAAAATATTTCAGTACAGACAAGTGAAAATGATGTGTCAAAATCTCTTATTTCCATATTTACATTTATAAAAGAACTATACAGTAGCATCATTGTTTGAGTCTCAGCTCCTATTTCCAAAGGATGCTTGGTCCGAGAGAACAGACAATGGGGAAGTGAATCAACAAGAGCCCGGGTCCGGAGTCCCTCGTGGCCTGGTCTAGACTAGGGGGTGAAGGCCAGGCAGCCTCCATGTGTTTACCTTTCATCTTCACCGTAGGAATTCAGTTGCAGGTTTGGCTGTGGATTGGTTTGCGAGCTGCTTGTTGTATAGATGCCATGCAGATTTGACCCTTTCGAAAATTAGATCTTCATGCCACTGGAGTGTGTCATTGGTAGGAAAGGGGAAAAAAAATCATGCCAAATCATTTAGAAGATATTAAGTGCCGGCAGGCTGAGGAAAGAAAAAAAATCATTTGCTATTTTTTAATGGTTCTTTTATTGCACTTAATTTTGTGTTATTGTCCCTTCTTCCTTTAGTTAGAAAAAAAAAAGATTCTGTGAAATAGTTCTTTTTTATAACATCGTCTTTTATCCCCTTTTATTGACAGGTGGTGAGAGGGGTTCTTCGAAATTAGTTCCCAAAAGGACAGTTTCCTTTTGCCCCATCCCTGTCCCCCAGCTTCAGTTCTGTGGTCGTTACCACCCAGTGTTCTTGTTTACAGACTTAACAGTTCCGGCCAGGGTGCTGCGAGTTTGTCACGCCCAGAACCCAACAGTGCGAAGCACCGCTCACCCGGTGCCGCCGACTCAGATGGGGCCTTGCTGAGTGGGATCGAACCTCCTCTTCTTGACATTTCTTCCAGAGACGCAGGCAGAGAGAGAAAAATCCACAATATTAATCAGATCATGGCGAGAGGAGCGCGATGATAATGACAACCACGCTAGTTCCAGAGCAAAGTAATCAACTCACACGGAGGCAGATTTCCCAAAATAACTCGAAACAGAACAGCTCACGCTTTTGAATGTCTTTACAACATCTCCACTAGAGTAGATCCATTTGTAAAGACCAAAAGAAGCTTTGAGTTGTTCATTTTAAATCACTGGAAGCCTCCGCAGCCCAATTTGTCTCTTGTTTCAGAAGTGAGTGATGTGACTAATTTTAACTAGATGAACATTACAGGGAGGGCTCTTCCTACATTGTAGGGGGCTCTTAGGGGAACTATGCACGACTCCGAAGGGCTTCTAGCTCCTTCCTTCCAGGACGTGAGAGTTCTGTACCAGTGGGTCGGCCTTTGCCAAGATGGCAAGGAGCCTCGTTCGCTATCCTGCTGCCTTGGGTGTGTGAGCTCTTACCCCACCGTGGAACAAGCATTTTTTGTATCTACACAGTTGAAAACCAGAGTGCACAGCAAGACGGTACACCCAAAGGAGAATGGACACGGGCTCGGGTTAGTTAAGCAAATGCAGCAGTTAAGCTCAGTGGAAATAAGCAAGTTAAAATGCCTTGCTCTCAGTGTCCAGTCTCCTAAAAAGTGGTTCCTATTATTTAAAAAGAGAAAAGAACCAGCAAGACACCACAAGGCAACACCAAAAGTTGGTTGCAACCTCCCCATGGTCTGGCTTCATGTGGGGCATCAAGCAAGGGGGCTCATGCATTTAGTGTGCGCACTGGGCGGGTGCAATGCTGTTGCCACCGCGGCATCATGCAAAACCGGAGAGCGAGGGGTCCCCGAGCCCCCTCTCGCCCCTGCCCACTCAGGGCCAGCTGAATACCCTTCCGGCCCTATGTGCCAAAAAACGACAGTGTGTTCCTCCTTCCCCACACATAATTCAAAATTAAAACAATACCAAAGCTCAAAATATGTATAAAGGCATCCTGCAAAGTTCTCATTTCTCCCAGATGGCCACTTTGATGCTTCTCTTTTGAAATAACAGAAATTTTTAAAATCTGCAAAGAAAATCTCCCTTTTCTTGTAAAAGTTTTCATTAAAATGTCTTTGTTAATGGCCTAAGCCTGTGGTTTGTTGGCCTAGCAGGTAACCCATTGCTGCAAACGCTATTTGCAACAGTGCTACTTCCTTTCTTCCCCATTCCCCACCACCTCCAAGAACTTTCTTTTGAGCCAATATTTTCAAAAGCAGTCATGGCTGCTGCTTTGAGACCAAAAGGGACGTCCCCCTTAACGCATCTGGCAGAGTTCGTTGGCTGCAGAGCACAGGGCTTGTGCCTACTACCCACACTCACAGCTCTTAAAAGTAGATGTATAAAGAACAACTCTACCCGTGGGTGAGGTGAGGAAAAACAAAGACTGCTTGACCTTGCCGAATGACCCTGAAGGACCAGGTGCTCCAACCAATTTAGCTGTGTGTCGCTGAAATCGAAGAGAAACATGAAACTAACGTCCCCTCAATTAAAACGAATGTAAAGGAAAGATCAAGAGAGCTAGTGCTGCGCGTGTGACTACACGGCTCACATCTAAATTCCCTTATTCAAATTCAGGGAATGGAAGATAGATAGCCATGTCCAAGGTCATAACTGCAATCTAGTTCATTTTTAAATGGAGATATGAAATTCCATTTCAGCTTGGCATACAGTCAACCCCCAGTGCCCAAAAGATTGTGCTCCTTTCAAAAGTCAGTTTTTGAAACTTAGATTACATTATTTTAAAGAAAATATATTCTAGAGGATGAATGGTTTCCCAGGTCAGACCAAGAGGCCAAGCCATCCTGTAAAACCATTCTTTCTATGGGGAAATGGACTCTGAATACCACCAGGGCGCTGTATTTCCTCCACAGATGCCGCAGCAGGAGGAAGGCACGGCCCCATGATGAGGGCAGAGGGGGACCCTCCTGTGGCAGGCTGACTGTGAGGCTCCTCGTGTATAAATTGCAGAACTACTATGGTGAGTTGTGAGAACTCACCTTACCTTGAGAACTGCCTGGCCTAAATTTTCTGTATGAAAAAAGTCTTTTCGCTCAATTGTAATATGAAAGTACAACTATCATGGGGAGATGGTTGTCTTCCTTCCACAGCTGTTTCATCTGACTTCCTTCTGCTCACTAGGACCAGGAAGGCAGCAAATGTCCTCGTCTAACCCGTACAGTGTTTCTGGATCATTATAAAATGTTAGCATAATCCATAAACCTTGCATCAACCCAGCTTTCACCAATCCTCCTGACATCTGAGGAAACTGCACTTTTGTCTACAATATACATTGTCCACATATGTATCTATACAAAATTAAAACAATGCTCTTCAGGTAACAACACCCCTCTCAGATCTGTAAAGGCTTTAGTTCTTTCAAGGGAACATATTTACCCCTTGCTACCACCTTCTCCTGTTTCCATGATGAGTCATCACCACTCACCAAGACCCCTTCCCTCAACCCCTCCAACACCACCTTTGACTGAGGTCACTTCCCCAGGGAGTTGAGGTGGGGGGCTAACCTGCTTTTTCCTGGCCAGCCTGCTAGGTCTGAGTGAGAAAGTGCCTAACCCCGGAATTGTAGGAATTAAGGGAATGAGGCTCCTTATTTCCCACTGGGATATGGTCGTGGAATTCAGAGAAGCAGCAGTCTGGTTACCCCCATGGAAAGAGGAGCTAAAATTGATTCCATTTCCTAATCCTATAAAAATCAAAACCAAAACAAAATAAAGAGGCATTTACCCTTTTGAGAAAATATAATCGGCAGTATTAAATTCCTTTCAAATTTCATCCAACTTGACATTCACACAATTCAACTCTCCTTGTGGTAAACCCAGATATGATCCTTTATGTATCACTTATGTGATCACCTTTTCTTTAATCTTTTAATATGTCCTATGAAATGGAACACAGACCAAACAGAATTGCTTAAAATCAGTCAAAATCAGGCTCAGTAAGAACTTGTAGCCCAAATAACTATTCATAGGGAGGAAATCACAACAGATTATTATACAGACTTATTAAAGTAACACTTTTAAGGTCAAGAGCAGCTCTGCCAAGCCAGTATGACCGCTACTGCCACTGAATCATACTGAGGGAGATGGAGGGAGCAAGCAGTGGGGCGGTGGGACGTGGTAACAGGGCTCCACAGTCTGAGACATGGTAATATGGTTGTGAGAGCTCAATGCTAATCCTCAAATCAACAAACTATGTCACTGTTACCTTCAAGTTGTTTTCCTATGATCGCCTAGAATTTCACTTTCTGACCACCGCCTATAGTGTTCATACACTTCGTATGCAATGTAAACGACTGTATTGCTCACATCTAAATTTCTGTGTTCAAATTTAGGGAATGTCAGATAGAAACCCATGTCCAAGGGCGTATGAGCAATTCGGTTCATTTTTAAATGGAAACGTGAAATCCTCTTTTCATCTATTTGCTACCTTTCCTAAGATTGAGAGGAAGATGCTACTCAAATGATCCTTCATCTACTTCATTTTTCTAATGGCTAGGAAGCAACAGCCCTAATCATCTAAGCAAGCAGCATTACTATGCAAAACTGAATGAGGCTGTGCGTCTTCATTCGTCAACCAGAACCAAGACTGCCAGTGCTCTGCTTTATTCTGCGTGTGTAGGTGATGGAGACGAAAAGGAACCTGGGGGTGGGAGGGACGTAAATAAATGCAGATATGGGGGTAAAGTGGGACAAATTGGTGTGCCAAGAACCTACCTTCATCTTTCACAGGATTTCTCAGAGAAAATTTCTAACACCCCATAGACTGAGAATCCACACGCTAAATCACCCTAAGGGTCTTCATACTTCCGGAGGATGCAGACTAACGGAAGTTGCAAAGGTGTACCTACCACAATACCCCACACATCAGAATATGTTAAATAAAAGAATCTACCACAAAAGGCACTTTTTTCTTCTCAGGAGGTCTACAGCTTTGCTTACGGATGTTTTGTTTGCATTAAGCAAAGCTTGCAGACTCTATCATTCTGCTGAAAAGATGTCATATAAGCTTGTATTATTTTTTATCACAATTATCTCAACAAAACTTCATTATCATGTATTCACACAAAGGTGTACACATTCACACATGCATGCACACTCACATACACTCATGCTTTTTACCACCTATTTCAGAGGAAATATGGCTTAAGACAAAAGCTATAAAGAATGGCAGACAATGTCAGGGGTCAGAGCAGAGGTATCTTCTCAATGCATTTGAACAGGTCATGTGCAGTATGGAACTTCTTCCACACTGAAGTTACTCACAGTGTTATGCCTCAAAAAATGTGACTTTGGGAAAAAGCAACACTGTCCCTGAGCAGTTAACGTGTTTTCATTTAATCTAAAAGTCCATATACCCTCAAATTCTCAGGCTACTGTGTTATTTGCTTTGCTTTTCTCTTCTAGTAAAACGCAATTCAGGAAGGATTTCCAATAAAAGTATTCAGAGAAATCGCCTTTAAACACTATTTTCAACTTCTGATTCTCAATGACCCTCTTTTGTATTTACAGTGAACTCAACAAGAAACTGAAATAACTTAGTTCATTTAGCAAATAACTTCTAGACTAATAATCTCCCAAATTGCCCAAGTGGTGGGAAAACCTAAACTGTATCATTTGGCACCCAATGCCTTCTCTTGCAAAGTAGAAGCAGTTCTTTAATGTTTACTATAAACCACATGGCTACTTTTAAAATCTAAAGCAAATTCAGATCCTTGTGTAGCAACCAATAGTCATCATGAAGAACAGTGGTGTCTCCAAGTTTAAACTACTAACATTCAAGAATTACTCTGTCTTCAGTTTTTCCTTAGTTTTGGTCATAAAGATACTTCACATTATTGTGTGTGTGCCTTCCTACAACATTTTCCTTTAAAGTAATCCTTAGGGTCACAGAGCACGGGAAAGGGCATTGGCTTAG